CTGAAAAGGTTCCTGCGGGACATCCCGTCGGAGCTGGCGGCGTTGGGCTTCACCTCCATACAGGTAACGCAGCGATGGGTACAGCCGTGCGGGGGCTGCCCCGTCGCCGGAAGGGAAATGGTGGAGGACCCAGGCGGCGGACGGCGTGGTGCTTGGCTGCAACGCTCCGAGCAATGCTTCCACTGTCGTCCCTCTGCGCTGCTCATGCGAGGCACCGTCCTTGGCCTCTGCTCGGTGCAAGCAGCACTTCAGGGGCTTGTGAGGGCCACAGAAATGGTTGTAGTGCCAACATGATGTTTGGCATTGCTTGTGCATGTCTGTAAAGACCAAGAAAAAAGATTAGAAGTGCTTCATCTTTTCTTTCCTGGCAGGTGACTTACTTTACCTCGCTGTCCAGACAACAGGAGTTTGAAGGAAATACCAAGAGTGTGATCCCACTCTTCTCTGTAACATATTTCTTGACAATAACCTTTTCCATCGTCTCTTGCCTAAGGTAAAATGTCTTCTAAGCTATGGATCGATGACGAGTGACCTCTGTCCTTCTTTACCTTGCCTAAATTGGTTTCTGCTCTTGTAAAGTGAAGTCATTCTTGAAGCTGCAGACTTCATGTAATAATAGGCAACATATATTTCTTTGCAGACTCTTTCCTACTTGTGTGTATTTCCTGACTGCTTAAATGGTATTCATGAAAAGTATCAGATGAATACCTGAACAAGTGTTCGGTTCAGACATGCACAGCTTGAATGCTAGTATCCATTTGTCTGTTCTTTGAAGCCATCAGACGTTTCTGTAGTCCCTGCCTCATAAGAATCTTTTGTAGCTGATGGCTTTGGAACTATTTGAATAACTGAAATGACCTCCTACTCTATCTTTTTAAGAGGTCTGAGATTCTGTAGCTTTGGCACTGAAAAACGCTATGCCAGAGTAAACACTTCTAATTATGAAAGGGTTCTACTTTACCTTATGTGGAAGGGGTGCAGAAGTGAGATCTAGCCAGCCTGGTAGCGGCAGAATTCTGCAAAAGCACTTCCGTTGAATACAACTTACCAGCTCAACTTGGTATACCCACTGGTAACGTTCACCAAAAAGATGCATAGAAGTGAAACAGAAAAGTCATCATTTGGGGGGAGAGAAGGAAGCAGTGGTACTATTGCTAAGGTTATTCTACCACTTTCTTGCTTAATTTTTTTAGCTTCTAGCCTCATCCTGCCCACAAGATACTAATTCTTTGTAAAGATCAGTTTAAAAAGGGAAGGAAGCAGCAGGGAGGAGAAAGAATACCATGTTAAGATCGGCTTCCACTTTTTTTCTGCCACCTGCTCAGTTAAGGTACAGATGAATGAGCAGTAGCTTCACGGGTTACTGCAAGTCTGGTATGGCGTTAGGCATTCTGCTTGCTAGTAGAGTCTGAGCCTTGCCTGCTGTCCACAAAGAACTTAGCCTGCCCTTTCTTTGTGCTGGTGGAAGGTGAACCATTGCACATTTGACAGCTGTATGGCATTTTTTGTGTGCTGTGCTTGAGAAATAAAAGTTCTACTCAGAGGGTGGGCTTATTGGTTTAGTGCTTGCGTCAAGCTTCATGCCCATTGGGCTATACTGTTTGGGGATATCTGCTGTCTCATGTCCAGTCACTTGTGAGTGCAGAGAGCAAGGGTGGTTCCACTAACACATGCTTCTTGCCTTGGAAGCGAGAGGTTCTGTTGAAGTTCAGAAACGGTCTACAGCCTGGAAAATATTACTTATCAGGCAAGAGGCAACTCTCTACCCCCTTAGTGTGGTGCTGTCAATAGCATCACATATGAAGTATCCCACTGGGAATCCTTGAGCCAGCCCTCAGGGGCATCTTGGCAAATGGCTGGTAGCCAATCTGTCTGCTGAGAAAGCTGCTCTACACAGCACTAACTGCCTGGGAGATGCTTCCTTACTACACTGATAGGCTACACCAAGAACCTGTGTAAAAGGAAAGAGCTTCTAAAAAGTCATAATTTTTGGGGTCATCCTAAACCACCCTTACATATGTTCATTTTGCCAGCTCTCTTGTTATTGATGCAAAGATCAGTACATATCTTTACTCTTATGTATATAACTGGCCAGCAGTAATAATGTGTTTGGCACCTCCTATATAAATTAATCTTGTCCAATGCTCACACCTGGGAGCTGTCCTACAAATAGCAGCTTTTCTCAAGAGTCTGTTTCACAGACAGTGGTTGGTATCTGTGCACTGGTCATGCCAAACACCTTGGTGACATATTTGACATGTAACTAAGATGTTCCTTAAAATACTTTCAGACTGAGCTGTATAAGAAATAATGTCTGGCTCGCGTGCTGTGGAGTGGTTTCTGCCGGTTTAGCTGTATTAAGCAGCTTTGGATTGATGCTCTTCTGTGGAGTGCCGTTTGTGGTCACTGTAGCAAATGCACCATTTCTTATTCTAGGTAAGTAGAAAAAGCGAGACGAATTCAGATACAAAGACTAAAGCAGAGTTAAAACAACCTGATGGTGTCAGTCTTTTATGATGTGAGCATCAGATGTACACAGTTCTATTCTGCAGCGAGGGGAGGAGACACATGGAGGTGCAGCCTCCTCTGAGCTCCTTCAGGCAGGTGAGCTGTTCAGCTCAGTGAACCCACCCTGGGACTGGAGCTGGGCTCTGGCAGAGCCCAAAAACCAATGCCTGCTCTAGTTCTGCTGCTACGGCATGAAAACTATAAATGAGGGGGTAGTACGGTTAGCACTTCGGGGATTGTTTTAGCATCCCTGGTAATTTAGCCATGCTGATTAATCATTTACTTAACTAGTGCTAATACTTGAGGGGAGCTCAGCTGGGTTTTGTCACCGCATTCCCCTGTGTCATCCCCTGCTGTTTTCTATAGGCATAGGACTAAAAGCATTTACATACATCCTTAGCTCTGGATAAGTTTGTCTACCCCAAATCAGTTTGTTGTGAGTACTGTTCTGTGGAACTGTTGAATTTGTCAGCAATTTAAGCAAGTGCAGAGGTCTTGCCCAAACCATCCACCCCTTGACCACCTCTTTTTGCAGTGCAGTACAGAGCTCCCTACTTCTCTGCTGTTAGTCAGCCTCAGGGTAGCTCAACAGCGGCACCATGGAACATGGGGCCAGCGTGCAGCTTGTGCTACACTAGTACTGGCTTAATCCAGTACCTGTATTATGAGGTGAATGTGGGAAGTAAGTTACCCTAACTTTTCATATCCCATTTTCAGAGTGTAGTCTTTGGTCAGATAAAATTGGGCTTGAATATGGCTTAAGCAATGAGCAGGACTGTCTGTAATTTCAAATAAAAAAATCCACCTCATTTTGTTAAGATGTGAAATTTCCTCTGCAATATAATGACTATGTCCTAAACAGTCTCATGTAGCTATACAACTGAAGCGAGGCACCATTCATGCAACCAGCTCCCCAAAAAACTGGAAGGAAGATAGTATCATTACATCATAGTTGCACAGACTGCTTGACAGCCAGTGCTGAACTTTCCAAATACCATGAGTTAATGTTACTGCAAATAAATTACTGCTTATAAAATCCTTATCTGGTCTGAATAACATGCAGACTTTTGTCTTCCTTGCATTAAAGCAAACAAATTATCAGTACATTAGATGAATTGCTTTGAAGCCTGCCTGCTTTCCGGAAGCAGCCTGGCTCGCTGCCATCCAGTATTACCTTTTGACTTGCAGCATACTTCAGCTTAGCATGTCTACTGGCAATTGCCTGTTCAGGCTACAGAAAGTGATTTCATCTGTTCTTTTAAGCTTAGCTGTATCATCTATGCTTGCTCCTCTGTTCACACAGTCCTGCTTCCCCTTTTTGTGTGATTAATTTTTAGGGACTAGAAGAGCCCTTGATAGAGTAACATTGGCAAAATACTGAAAGGTCTGTGGGTAAATTCTCAAGAGTTAGCAGAGCTGAGAGAAGTACATTGGCTCTTTCCTTTTCGACCTTTGTCTCACTCTTTTTTCTTAGCAAAAACTCCAGCCCAGGACCCAGTCCTCCTGGCAGAGTTTCCCAGGACTCTGGTGGATAATACATGCATGAACATCAGCATAAATGTGAAGATAAATTAATAATAAATCATGAATAAATGCTCAAAGATAAACTGGAGGGAAGATAAGTGGAGAGCAAAGAGCATAAAAAGGCAAACCACTGGAGAACTGGGATCACTGTTCTCCCATGTGATAGCAACTGTTTTCCCTGTCTGCTGAGGGCAGATCAAGAAATTATTGGTCTAACTTGCTGCAGTGACGGAGAAGAGATTCCAGAGATAGTGGGGAACACTTCCAGTGATAAGGAGAGTTGAACATCAGAATAAGCGATGTATTTAAATCTATGTAATCTGCATCACTGGACACCTGGACAGCAGATACAATGCACTTGTCAGAGATAGGCTAGGTGTGCTCTGTCCTTCAGCAGAGTAGGGTGAGGGATCAACAACCCATCAGGTCACCAGGAGTTTCCGAAATGTACTAAATTCAGCGACACGCAAAGGACCTGTTTTCCTGTATCTGTTTATCTTGCATCAGCCCTAAAGCAATGCTAATAGCCTGTCAAAATTTTATGCAGACTTAATGTGGTTAATTTTGTACTTTTGTTGGGTGTTAATGAAAGCTGCCATTTGCAATGCAGTGTTAACTTTTTCTCCTCTTGCAGGAGTTGGTGTTGATGACATGTTCATCATGATCGCTTCCTGGGAACAAAGTACAAGAAAAAAAGAGAAATCCAACGTTAAATCTCTGCTGGCCGAGACTTACGCCGAAGCAGCACTTTCTGTGACCATCACCACTCTCACAGATGTTTTGGCCTTCTTCATTGGCACCTGGACTGCTTTTCCATCCGTGAGATCATTTTGCCTCTATACAGGCACTGCTTTTGTCTTCTGCTATATATATACCATGACCTTCTTTGGGGCAATTATTGTATTAAATCATAAAAGGGAGCAAGGAAACCGACACTGGCTAACTTGTATGCCTGTGGGAGTAGACAAAGATCAGGCTGAGAAGTCCTGCTTGTACAATGCTTGCTGTATAGGCACCTGTTCTAGGGAGTCATCTCAGCTAGAAAGTGAACATCCAATGAGCATCTTCTTTAAAAAGTATTATGGCCCCTTCTTCACAAATAAATGGATCAAGCTACTTGTGGTGTTGCTGTACGGAACATATTTGGGTGGCAGTATCTATGGATGTACTCAGATCAGGGAAGGCATTGATCTTCGAAATCTGGCGAATGACGACTCTTACGTTATTCCATACTATGATGACAACGACAAATACTTCTCAGCATATGGACCCAGGGTCATGGTTGTCATTACTGAAAGTGTAGATTACTGGAATGAGACTGTTCGTCTTGGCATTGAGCACTGCATGCAGAATTTAGAGGGCATTTCCTATGTAGATAAGAACCTCTCAGAGTCATGGCTGAGGGTATACACAAAACTTGCTGAACGTGGTTTGATAAAAATAAACAATAAGACCCTTTTCATTAGTAACTTACCTACACTGTTCCAAATTGTTCCCAGTTTTGAGTGGGACATTAACAAGACTCAGGATAAAATAGAAGCTTCACGTTTCTTCATCCAGACGGTGAATGTGACCTCAGCCATTGATGAGAAGAATCTTCTCAATCAGTTAAGAGAGACAGCTAAGCAGTGCAGTATTTCATTAATGGTGTACCACCCGGCGTTCATCTACTACGATCAGTACCTGGTGATAGTGCAGAACACCATTCAGAACATTGTTGTTGCTGCCGGGGCAATGCTCATTGTCTCCCTTTTGCTTATTCCCAACCCGTTGTGTTGCTTGTGGGTGACTTTTGCTATAGCTTCTGTTATAGTTGGTGTCGCTGGTTTCATGACATTTTGGAACGTCAATCTAGATTCCATATCCATGATCAACCTGGTCATTTGTATAGGGTTTTCAGTAGATTTTTCAGCTCATATTTCCTATGCCTTTGTTACGAGTGGAGAGTCGTCTGCCAATAAAAGGTCAATCGAAGCTCTGTCCCTGCTAGGTTACCCCGTATTACAAGGTGCAGTTTCTACTATACTGGGAGTAGTTGTCCTGGCTGCAGCAAAAACCTACATCTTTAGGACATTTTTCAAGATCATGTTCCTTGTTATTTTGTTTGGGGCTCTTCACGGTCTTGTTTTTATTCCGGTGTTTTTAACCTTTTTTGGAAACTTTGGCAGATCACCCCACAATACCAAATCTAAAAGACTAGAGCTTAGGTTTAGAAATGATAAAGATTGTCCATGACTAAGTGAAACGTAATACATTATGCATTTATTATATATTTATGATATGTAGATTAAAATGCAGTGACTTTCAAGGAATATAAGAAATGAAGAAAATGAAGGACAGAAAAATAAAAACAACAGAGAAGCAAAGGCTTCAGAAAAGCCAGGCAAGAAAAATAACAGAAGAAATGAAAATACGCAGAATGGATTTGCATTTCCTTGTTTTTGTGTGTGCTTGGTTTTAAATAAAAATGTTAAATATTATATTAAATATAAATGTTATATGTTAAATGTTAAATATAATGTTGGCTGTAATGTTAAATATTTTTTGTGACTTGTTTACTGAATGTATTAAAATTATTATAAAGACTGACTACGTTACAGGTTTGTCAGGCAATGTACACAGGAGGGAAGACTAACTCCCACTGGTTTGCATGTCCTGCCTGTTTGCCTTGTTGCTGTAACTCAGCCCAATGCTGAGCCTGAAGACAATTTTCCCCCAAGAGGCTCCAACCTGGAGGTTTTACAGCGAGATTACAAGAGGTCAGAACTGCCTCAGACTGCAATTATTTATAAGCCTTCAAGGGAGGACGTCTGCTTTGGCTCCTAATTCAGTTTGAGAAACCCTTAGGGAAAACAAACCGACTCACATTTTGCTATTCAAATCCTTCTTTTCTTGGTGTCCCGTTTTCTTGCCAAGATTAAACTTCATGTAGTTTTAAGAAGAGTGGGTGTAGCTTCTGGTGGCTGCAGCTTGCAAAGGAATATACCATAGGTGATTGAACTTGTGTGAACCTCCTGAGTAACCACTGTGGAAGACGCTGTGCCATGGCATGGCAGGGCAAGGCAAGGATTCACTAGAGACAATCATGCCCTGACTGAGGACAAAGCGAAAAAGCAACTCAGGTTTAAACTGGTCAGTCCTAAAACTATAAACCTGTAAATTCTATTGCGTTCATCAGTGACAACCCGTCCTGAGATGCATTGATAGAGCAGAGGAGCTTTCACTGCATAAGGGAATAAATACATGAGGTGGTCTTTTAACCTGTAAGGACAAGACACAGGATGAAAAGTCAATTCGTAATTTGTTGCCAATTTAAGGAGCTACCTGTTGGAAATCAAATGACGGTAACTGATGTTTGTAGCTTTGGAAAAATTGGTCTCGGAGTTATTAAACCTTTCAGTCCAAATCTGCTGCTGTGGAGTGTTTCTGCTGAGAGATGCAGCAAGTGTGCAAAGCCAGGACAAACTGAAAGTACTGATACTAATTTTCAGAGCAGTGAATCATAGTCTACAGGCATTAAATTAATTTCCATTTGGAGTCACTGTGAAAGCTACATAACAAAGTTCAAGATAAATCACTGACAGCCAACAAGAAATTGTATGACCATTTACTCAATATTGGCTGAATCTGGAATGCAACAGAAGCATATATCAAAGAACACTGGCGACTTTCTGTGCAAAAGCCATTATTAACCAAGTTACCACAAAAAGGAAATGAAAATCAACCCCCAAAACTTCTCAAAAAAAATTTGATTCTGTGCACACCCTCTGAAATTGGGGGGGAAAAAAGTACCACAGACCACATAAGAGTTACCTGAGACTTTGCTATGAATATATGAATACTACTTTATGTTAGTGGCTTAGATACGACAGTGATGGATGAAACAAAACCTTTAGAGAGATGAAGAGTAACAACAACCGTCATCATTAAGACACGTCATAGATCCCTTTGTAAAAGCAAAATGAAATCAAGCATGAATCTGTTTTTTGAAGGAGTATTTAATGTGCATAAAACAGAAGTGCACTTCAGCTGGTGTGTCTTTCCATACCTACTTCTGTCCCTAGGTCTTTGTGCTGGTTTTGGCTGGGGTAATTTTCTTCATAGTAGCTGGTATGGGGCTGTGTTTTGGGTTTGTGCTGCAAAGTCTTGAATGACGCAGGGATGTTTTCATTACTGGTGAGCAGTGCTTGCACAGAGCCAAGGCCTTTTCTGCTTCTCCTATCACCCCACCAGTGAGTAGGCTGGGGGCGTACAAGGAGCTGGGAGGGGACACAGGCCAGCTGACCCAAACTGACCAAAGGGATATTCCATACCATATGACATCATGCTCAGCATATAGGGGGCTGGGGGAAGAAGAAGGAAGGGCGGGGGTACACATTTGGAGTGATGGCAGTTGTCTTCCCAAGTAACCATTATGATGCTTTCCTGGAGATGGCTGAACACCTGCCTGCTGATGGGAAGTGGTGAATGAATTCCTGGTTTTGCTTTGCCTGTGCGTGACTTTTGCTTTATCTATTAAACTGTCTTTATCTCAATCCATGAGTTTTCTCACTTTTATGCTTCCAATTCTCTCCCCACTCCCACCAAGGTGAGTGTGAGCAAGCGGCTCTGTGGTGCTCAGTTGCCAGCTGGGGTTAAACCACAACAGTCCTAGAGCAAGAGGCTCTTTTGCTTTGTGGAGATTAAAACAAACAAACAAAACCATCAATTGCCCTACCACCCACACCTCTGCCTAGGACAGCCTGAGAATTCTTAAATGAAATTCTTTGCAAAAGGTATCCTGAAGTTTCATGCAAATTTCTGTGTTCAAAGAATGTCATGTTTCTTTCTCATTCCAGGTTTTCTCTGAAACCTTCCTACCTAGAAAGATACTTAAACCAAATCTGGGTGTGTTGTTTCGTCACTATGGCAGCTGAATGTTCTACTGCAAAAGTAGCTCTGAAATAATGGGTAAATGTTTATTAAAAATGTTACAGGTCTTGCAACACTCCAGAGTTGAAGAGCAAGTTTTGTTCATAGAAGGAGAAGCAGTTCTTGAAAAAGTAGTCAAAGACTGAACACTAGCATCAATCTTAGAAGAAATCTGCTCCTGAGCTGGAAGTCAAAGCCCATGTGGTACATTGCTGAATCTCAGTGTTATAGCCAGCAGCATTAAACTTCCAGGACAGGGCACTAACCACAAAGCTAGATGTGAGAGAAACAAACCAACCAACCAACCCCAAAAAGCCCATGCACCAGAGTCCTCCCTTCTCCCATTACATTTCAATGTCATATTAGTGCTTTTATTATGGCAAATGAGTCTATGATTTCTGCACTGATGAAGCTGCCAAAGGAGCAGATGACACACTCACACTGGCCAACACCAGAGGAAGACATCTTAATAAACACTGGACAGAAGGAATGGGAGTCACGCTCTTGGAAAAAGAATGGAAATCTACTTCTGAGGGAAGTAGACTGAGTGGCCTACTGAAAGCGAGTACTCTAACAGTTCTTTGGCCATGTTTTAGAAGGAAAAATAGCTCTACTTGCTTCTAGGAAATGTTTCAGAGCAGATAAGGCAGACAGCTACCAATGGCTTGATTGCTGTATTTTCACAGCCAGTTCAAGGGATCAAGATTTAGAAAACTTGTGACATTTCAGCTGACTCAGGTCATCACACAGTAGGAAGCAGCCAGAAAAAGCAGGCCGCATCTTTCAGTGGAAGTTTGCATTTTCTTTGTATTAAGCTTGATAGTAGAATTCTGGCATAAGTCAGCCTCAGGAATGCAGAAAATTCAGAATCATGCCCAAGTTTGAAGTTCTTATTTTACGTCCCACTGTGCTTGTGACCAGTTTAGGGTTATTTTTTAAATAAGAAAAAAAAGCGAACAGTCCATCAAAGCACCTAGCTCTGCCCTGTTTTCAACAGCATGAGGCTGCGATGGAACTATCTGACTGATGTTTGGAAGCTGCCTTTGTGGTTGTGCTGGGTTGACCCAGGCTGGAGGCCAGGTGCCCCCCAAAGCTGCTCCATCACTGCCCTCCTCAGCTGGGCAGGGGAGAGAAAATACAATGAAAGGCTCCTGGGTGGAGATAAGGACAGGGAGAGATCACTCACCAGTTACCGTCACAGGCAAAACAGACTCGACTTGGGGAAACTAATTTATTACTGATCAAAAGTCAGAGTAGGATAGTGAGAAATAAAAGCAAATCTTAAAACACCTCCCCCCCACTCCTCCCTTCTTCCCAGGCTCAACTTCACTCCCCATTTCTCTCCCTCCTCCTCCACAGCAGCACAGGGGGATGGGGAATGGGGGTTGTGGTCAGTTCATCACACCTTGTCTCTGCCACTCCTTCCTCCTCAGGGGGAGGACTCCTCACACTCTGCCCCTGCTCCAGCGTTGGGTCCCTCCCATGGGAGACAGTCCTTCATGAACTTCTCCAATGTGAGTCTCTCCCATGGGGTGCAGACCTTCAGGACCAGACTGCTCCAGCGTGGGTCCCCCACAGGGTCACAAGTCCTGCCAGCAAACCTGCTCCAGCCTGGGCTCCTCTGTCCATGCAGCCACAGGTCCTGCCAGGAGCCTGCTCCAGTGTGGGCTTCCCACAGCCTCCTTCAGGTGCCTCCACCTGCTCTGGCATGGGGTCCTCCAAGGGCTGCAGGTGGAATCTCTGCTCCACCATCATCCTCCAGGGACTGCAGGGGGACAGCCTGCCTCACCATGGTCTTCACCATGGGCTGCAGGAGAATCTCTGCTCCAGTGCCTGGAGCACCTCCTCCCCCTCCTTCTGCACTGACTTCAGTGTCTGCAAAGTTTCTCACTCTGGCTGCAATTGCTCTTGGTGGGTTTTTTCCCCTCTTAACTATGTTATCCCAGAGGCACTACCACCACTGCTGACAGGCTCAGCCTTGACCAGCAGCAGGTCTGGCTTGGGGCCAGCTGGCATTGGCCCTGTCGGACATGAGGGAAGCTTCTGGCAGCGTCTCACAGAACCTACCCCTGTAGCCCCCCGCCCTGCCGCCAAACCCTTGCCACACAAACCCAGTACAGTGGTGTCTTACCTCTGTCCAATGATTACATGAGGAATTTCAGCTCCTAAATGCACCCACGAACACCAGAGGTCTAATGGACAAGTTTCTTTGAAACCCCAAGAGGTATCGCATGCAGACAGTCATCAAGGTGTCGCATGCAGTCATCGAGGTGTGACAGTCAACTCTTCAGTAACACCTCTGCTCTTAAGTTGGCCAGAAAGCA